TTACTCTTTATTTCCTGCGCTTAGTCCCCTTGATAAATTTCCATAAAGGCAGAAAGACCAAATTTGCAGTATGAAATGACCCCATCATTCTATTTCGAAGACTCTCATCAGTTAACTGCAATTTACGTGAAATTACAATGGCTATAAAGTGACAATAACATACTACAATGTTTGAATGATAACAGAGAAAATCTTATAGAAAACTAACGCATCTGAAATATAAGCACTATAATTTTTCTATGTTCCCATCAATTCATGTGCTTTCAAAGTAGAAGAGCAGAAGGGGAGATACTGGAAGACAGAAAAGTTATTGAACATTATCAGCTTATAACTTGTTATTAGCAAGAAGATTATAGTTCATAAGATCAAAAACTTTCTTGATCAGAAATAAGTAGCAACAGGAAACTCTAGGGACGAAGCAGCCAGTAACCTGTTGCCTAACAAATATACCGAAGAAAATGGAGAGATGGATCAGACACACACTGAAGAGACTATTCAGTGACACTACGCTAGAGTGGGATCTGAATGGGAAACGACAAGTTGAGCTTCTTAAAGTGACATGAAGTAGATCGTACGGAGAATAGATGAGAGCTTACGACCAATTGTGAGACCAGCTAAAGGGGATTGGAGACAACAGGGTGAAATGATGATGTGTTGTTGAAGCCATATGTTGCACTCGGAACCCAAAGGAATAATAATAGTACTATTATTCTATTTATTTAAGGAGGATATTAAACAGGAGAATAAACTGAAAGTATGAAATGCAGTCATCTTATTTTGAGGCTTTTCTTCCTCCAGAAACAGACAGGTTAAAATATACAGAGTATTAAGAATATGCTGGACTGCTTAAATCACTGGGCTACAACATCTTTTTCCCCATCAAACGAAATGCCCGATATTTATTGCATTTCATATTGTTGTAACCATCTAACTACGCTCATGAATCATCACCTACTTCCACGTGCATTCTCAAAAAGGTTTTAACTTAATGCTACGATTTTTTTCCAAGGTAATGGACGATAAACTTTGTGGAATAATGGAGCATACTCTGGATGGAACAACACTGATAAAGTAGAAAAGACCAAATTTACAGTATAAAATGGTACCATCATTCTATTTCACAGGTTCTCATCAGCTAACTGCAAACTACCTGAAATTACAATGGTTATAAAATAATGACAATAACATACTACAGTGTCTGAAAGGTATTCGGGAAAATATTATAAATTTAACACATCCGAAATATAACCATTACAATTTCTTAGTTTAAGTTACCACCAATTTATATACCTTTCAAAGTAGAAAAGTAAGGGAGAGGAGAAGATAGAAAACAGAAAAATCTGAGAAAAAAGTTTTAGCCTGTAAGTTTACGTAACAATTCAAGAAGGATATAGTTTATAAGACTGAAATTCACTCATTGAGCTGAAGGAACTAGCATGGATGACTAATCAATGTAATCAAAATGCAGTTACAAAGGTAGTGAGAGATTAATACACTCTCTTTCTCTACGCATAAGTTTTGTTTGAAATGTTTGATTGCACTTGTTTCAGCAAATTGCAGTAAATTTCCTGTGTTTTATATATTTCATACTTTGGAAAATTTTGAAATCTTAAAGAAATTCACCATAACCGCAAGGCGTCTGGTAGTTACACAATGCTTAGTTTCTTGGGGTATGCTCAGAAAACCAGATAGAAACCCTTTTTGCCTTACTTCCAGTGTACTTGCAAAGGTTGTCAGTAATTATTTTAAATTCAGTTGCACAAGAGGTGACTCTCGTTGCTCATGCGATCTAGTGGATAACGCTTTGAGGTTTGAAACTATGCGTACTGGGTTCTAGAATCAGTAGGAATACCATCACTCAGTGGATAGTGGGAGCACGTCCAAATGACGACTCCGAAATAGGAAGAAATGTACCTCCTCAATCCCACTGCTAGTCAACATTTACCACATTAATTCAAGTTAAATTTTTAGACATCATCGAAACATCCATAAAAGTAGATGACATGTCAACAGAGGTCAGAAATTTCGGTTCAATCAGTCAACGGGAAAATCGTAATTGAAATAAATATAATGTGTGTTTATGGTAACAAAGCACTGTTATTGCTAAACACATGTTTTATACAGTTTGTGCGACTGAATCGAATAGTGCTTCTAGTGCAGTCAGCTAATAAAATAATTGTATAACCATCTGCAATCAGTTGACTCAACGTGTTGGTACAAAAGTATTCTAGCATTCGTCTGACTTTAAGATCTTCACCGATCTCTTAATTTACCAGCTGGATAACTATTCTGTCATTCTATTATCTTGCATATTCCTTGCGAACACCATCATTTTTCGTGGTGTCTTCAGTTTATAAAAACTTGGTATGTCTTATTCAAAATATGAGCTTTAGCAAGGATGAATGTTCCCCTGGCTTATCTCGTAACCTGAAGGTTATGGGTTCACATAGGAGCGCACAGTTGAAGAGTGTGAAACCAGAGCGAAGCGGAGCTTCTTGTTTTTGAGTGATTGCTCAACTGTTGTCGGTTTCGTGAGGAAATGTGTAAGTTACACATGTGGTGCATGGTATATACTAAGCATATCAACAAGTTATCTTCCCTAAGTTTAATGCTTTCTGAATTCAACCTTCCTATTACTCTTCAGCTGCAATCACCACCTTCTCGTTCGTTTTATCTTTCAAGATGCTACAAATATAACTAACTGAATGTTAAGGGTTGAGAATAAACTGAGGCTGCCTAAAATTGTTTTGCTAGGAAGTCAGTTAATCTCACAGTACAATAAATCAACTCTGAGCATACACTCAGTTGTAAATTATTTTGTAAACAACATTCTGTGAAAATATTGACACTTTAGAGTATAACAGAACTTATAGTCACACTGTTACAAAAAATATATGTAATCATGTGCTAATATACACAAACAGTCATGATTACTTGACCAGAGTTTAAGTATAAGAAATTATGAGCCTTAAGTTGTGTTTTTTTTTTAAATAACGAAGTACTTGAATATTTAATAAATTAAATTAAATCTGTTTTATTTATCACTATTAACAACAAGAATTCTGGTTATTTATTCAAACAAATTTGTTAGAATGATAACTTAATTCATCTCTAGAATAAATTACATTTTCAGAAAAAGTACTCATCTTAGACATATTTTATAATGTACGTCATAAGGTATAAATAATTTACTCATAACTAACTAAATAAATAAAGAAATAGATAATAAACAGAACTCATTGAACATTGGACAAATTTAAATTAAATGCAAATTTTCAAGTCTAAGTGTTTCATCGTTTTAATAATCATACAAAACAATAGAAGAAGAATTAGGAGTAATTCTGTGAGGAAACATTTCAAAGAGTTTGTTTGAAATGGTGAACTTTGCTCTTTAAAACAATTAAATTATTGCTAGTGTTGCACATAAGTGGTTGAAACGTTTAAACAAACTTCGATAATAACATTAGTCATAGATGTAATTAACACAAGGTATATAAGCAGTTGAAAAGAATCACTTACAGATTATAGGCAGACGAAAAAAAATGAACACGTTTCAACAGATTTTCGCATTGGCTATTGTACTGAGTAAGCGAACTTTAGAGTTGTAATTTAACATTCCTTCTTTCTGAACTTATCTTCTGTAGGTATTTGTGGGGTCACATTTACTGAGGAAAATGTTGTAAGTGTCACCTATTTAATGTGCGTGCGTTTAATTTTATTCCCTTTCTACCTGTTTTATCCCTTTGTGTCCTGAGTACAGCTTAGGGCTTTAATGCTTGAGCTTTGAAATTTAAATAGGAATGGTGTTAAGGTTGTTTTACGTGGTAAGGTTTCTAGTCTTATGAGGTTCTTGCATCTTTGTGTACTAGGCCTACTAATGGCTAAGGTTTACGAGTGTATCAATCGGCAATAGAACCCTGAACCACGTAGATAGTTGATGAGCATTCTATCACTTAAGCAGGTTTAATATAACTAAATGGTGTTGAGTCACTTATCACATGTATCGACAGTTTCTAATAAAGTGTTTATTTTAAATTTTCCAGTTAAATTATGTTATTATAAAGTAATGTAACAGGACAATTGCTTCGCTATCGTCCAGAGTTCCTTGTAGACGATTTTCTCGAGCTAGTTATCTGACCTACAGAATCAAGCCAGCAGGATTGTTGCTGGTTTAATGCTACTGTAATCTGTGGACCGTATAAAATCATTGATTTGAAATCAGTGTCGAATATTCGGATGTTGTTATTTATGCTGAATACTGTAGATCTCCAATCCGCTTTCAGAGTAATAAACATCTGCCGTGTTTTCTTAGTCCTGGCTGCCTTCGATATACTCATGCTTATCACCCGCTTGTTGTTGAAACGACGCTTCCAATGCAGTTCACAGGACGACTCCCTGAAGATTTTTATCACTAGTGTACTATCATAAAAATAGGTTTCTTTTATGGAAACAATTATGAATCGTTCGAAGTTTTTATGAAGCATTTGTAATTGAAAGTTTTCGTAGTATTGGCCAAAAATAAACATTTTTCATATCACTTGAAGACGCAGAAAAGATTTTCAGCAGGCTGAAATTAAAACTGTTTAGGTAGATTTAATAACAATTCTTTCGAAGGAAAACCGAGGTCACTTTGGTGTCTTGGGAGCACTTTTTTGTTTATTCTTTCCTACTGAAACCTAAACTAAGGCTATTTTATATAGGTGCTTATTCTGTCCGATGGTAACAACAGCTCCTGGTTGTGATATAACTTGGAGTAATTAATGAAGTCAGCATTATTGCTAGATTTCCTAATGCGAGGATTATGCGTCACCTACCTGAGTGAAGATTCACAACATTTCAAAACATCTTTCATTATTCTATGCCCACTTAAAATGCATAAATATCACATGTGGTCATTGAATTTCTCCTTCAAGATTTATCATTATTTCAACTAACTGAAGATTTTGATTTTTTTTCGCATTTAGGTACCCACCTCAAAACTGACAAAACCACAGTGCAACATGCGTAAGATATATTTTTCATCGATATAAATATATGTTGATATTTTCTTAATCACTGACTAATAGAGTAAGCGAATACAAGAACGGTAATGAGTACAGGGATACTTGGTCGTGACTTTAAGGCGCCTTGAAAATAATATTAAGTTAACTCCATTATAGATAAGATTTTATTTTGATAAATCACACAGTGCTACACAGTAATATTAACTGATGGCCACGTTTCGAGCACAAACTATTGCTACTCATAATCATATCAAGTCACTCACTCACACAACTTTTTCCTTCATTTATATACATGTGTGGAATTGACCAGATATTTGAATAAAAATCAGTATAGGATGATGTACATTCAGAAATAATAATATGAGTGTTATTGATCAAATACAATCAGATGGGAAATAAGGCGAGTGTTTTTATAGTCATAATAAGTAACTTGTTAGAATGTTGTGATGTGCTTGAATTGAAATAGAATTTTAAGATTATTTATTATCCTCCTCTGATTTGACTGGTGGTAATAATGTCTTCCATATTTCTGGTATTTGCATTGAGTCATTTCTGTTGCATGTGTTGGGTGTAGACTCAATGAACCAGGATTCAGTAATCAATCTCTCTCAATCTCCACCTACATAGATTACTTCTTAGAACCTTAACCCTCTCCCACCCTATTGTGTGGTTGTGTGTTACTGCATGCAGTGCAATTGCTGAGCTTTTTTCTAAATTACCTATCTTCTCGGGGTCAACCATTCTTACCTTAGCCAAATTCTTATGTTCCGCCAATCTGATTACCCCCGATCTACTAGTTTGACCTATATAGTTGACCTCACAGTCATTGCAGGGTATTTTGAAACGTCTTCAGTTAATATTACTGTATAACACTGTCTGACGTTATCAAAATATAATCTTATCTATAATGGAGTTATACTCTACCACAGTGCCCAAGTTTTATACTTATATCAATAATACTAAGTTAGGTTTATCAGGATGAGTAGTTAACTCATCGCTAATAACTGATCAGTAGTTTTGAATAACACTTAGTTTGCTATTCAGCTAAAACACTATTCCTTGTTTCGCTGAGTAGCTTCAAAATAACACATTTTGTTGTCATCTAACATGAGAGTGAATCTCAGATTCTATAATCCTCCAAAAGAGGATTACTTTAGTCAGTACTGCAACTAACTCTATAGAAAGAGAAAGACATAATAGAATCTTGACCAACATATCGCTTGCAAGTAAAATCAACTTCAACTATTGATGACTTTCTTAAATTATCTAGTCGAAATAACTGGAGACACAAGAATTCATCGTTTTGAAAATATAACGGTATACTCTGAACAAAGCTGAAATATAACATTTTCGGAAGTTTTAAACGAAGCTACAAGAAAAATTTCAAATTGTTGTATTACACATTCTCTCACAGAGCAAACAGAGTTATTCAGAGACTGCAGTTAGGCGAATCTGCTCAATTCACTGGGCCAACTGAATTTCCATTCCATCCAACACAATGTCCCATTTATTTCTCTGCGATTCGTGTTGTTTTACTCATTCAGTTATGTCATTGAGTCGTTAAATCTACTCACGCACAGTTTTGATTCACTTTCAAACTTTCAAATGTGCACATTTCTCGGAGACGAAGGAAACATTCCACTGAAGATCAGTCTATATTGTAGATGGAACAGAATTGAGTCATATGATATACTACAGAGTGATATTTTCCTCGGAGATCCTAGACTAGAGGGAAATGTTATGAGAGAAATTACACTGGGGAATTCTGTTCATTGTGTAGACATTTGTCACAAATGAAGCGATTATTATTTCTATATCTCTGAACAGGAACTAAATTCTGATAGTCAGTTGTAGAAGGCGATCACTATTGCCCAAAAAAATAGGAAAAAAATTTCCCTGTCTACCTATTTTCTGAGCTTGTATTGAAGATGGTAAGATTATGTATGCTTCGGAAAGTACTCTCACAGTGTTTACTTATTGGTGTAATGAAATTATCTGATTATTATTCAGAGGATTTTATTTTCCCTTTTTAAATTTTAGTATGTGGAACATGTGTAAGACTGGGAAATATAACAAAATGGGTGTTGACTCAAGACCCAATAGTCCCATTATTCATAGACATCATGACTCCGATATGCTACTTTATACCAATGAAAGCTTGGAGAACCAAAGTGAGTATAATTGGTCTTTATAAACCAGTCATGTTAACATGAAGGATAATGCTAAAAGGGTTATAGTGAAATATTTTCGAATATGCACTTTTTATAGATAGCTAAATGTGAAGGTCAGTTAAGACAAGCAGAATTGTGACAGAGCGTGAATCTATGTGTCACATTATTCGGTTTTGAGTCAGGATATCGGCAGTTAAAAAGAACTCCTGAATTTTAATATTTTGAGGATAGCAGAAAGGTAATTCAATAATTCAGAACAACATTTGAAGACTTTATAAAGTGGTGAGACATCTTCATCTACTTAGCCTAGAAGTGGATAAATAGACGCTCAAAAGAGACAACGTCTTTTCAGATCACCAATTGTCTAGGGGATATTATCACTTACTCCACAGATTTGACACTAGGTCAGTAACAAATGTAATTCTCTGGATTATTATTCCATTTGGTTCCCAATGGAATTAGTTACCTGAGGGCATAACTCCATTTTGTATCGTTCTGTACAGTCTTCTTTACCTGGCTGCCCAGCTGGCCATTGGCTTTCATCTGCTTGTCACGCGACCGCCTTTACGTCACTCAAAGAGGCTAAACGCTTCATTTCCCTCTCCAGGTCCCATTAAAAGACTGCCTGGCGCGCGATCTCGTACTTTTGTCTCCTCAGAGTGCATCTGATTCATCCCCATTTACTCTGAAATATTCTTTGAGCAATAGATTCTTGGTCAGTTCGTTCCCAGAGTTTCTTGTCTCCAATTCATTCTCCCTGGCCATTTCATCACCAGTATGGAGCCAGAAATCGCAGATGCTGATAACATTCTGAAGTGGCACGTTAGAAATTATTTTGTTGACGCATCCACCAAGATTCTGACTGATGCTCAAAATCCCAATGTTTTCCTTCATACTGAGTGCAGAAGATTTTCAAACTGATTTCAGAGTGACGAATGTCTGTCTTGCCTTTCCGATCCTGATTTTGAGATCTTCTCCTGTTCCTATATAAGTAAAGGAAGTCATGTATCAAGTTTCTCCAGTTTTTAGTGATTGGTGCGTGTTGTGATTGATGGCGGTTAGTCATCTGCGCCATCTTCCACCTCTCCATGTTCACTTTAAGTCCTGTCTTATCTGCATGCCCCTTCTCTCAAATTGTCGGGTTTTACCCGCAAGTCTCCGATTTCGTGTAACATGATGCATAAATTCAACCGCAAATGTTATATCTTCTAGAGTCTTCCTACCTGCTCAACATATTCTTGTCTCATCGCTCCCTACGCAAAGTCTTCCTCATGTTCGAGTCTACCACAATCCTGAATATCATCGGTTATGGTAGTAGTCAACAACCTGGTATTTCTCCTGTCTTCACCTCAAAGACTTTCTAGCTGAGTTTTCCCCCTGAGGATTTAATTTCATTAATAGATATGTTTTTTTACGTTGGAAGCTCAAGTTACTCTGATATAATTTCATCAAGATAGAGACAGAACTCAGGGCACGAAGTTATTCAGAAGATACCATCCACTTATTTGGAATGCAGTCTTTAATTTCTCAAAAATAGGCAAACAAACAGTCTATTGACTAGGCTGATAAAAAACGGAATCAAACAGTCATATTAGTGGAAAACAAATTTCATGTCTGCTTTTTCTATCACAAAAATTGATAACTATTAACAAAGACACCCTTTTGTGTCTTTTTTTTTCTTTTTCATTTCTGTCAGTGTCACAACTTTACACATACTGAACTAAGCAAAATTTATGAATCTATCAGGAAAGTGGATGTTACTAATGTCTGTAGAGTAAGTCAACACTTCTTCTAATTGTGTTTTTTTTGAAAAATAGCAGTGTGAATAATTCCAGAGTAGATTTGTCTATTGATTCAGAATAAATAGGTGCTAACCAATTGGTGTCAGTTTGTAACTGAAATTAAGCTTGAAACTCATTTACCTTCAGCATGATATTGAGCTTTATGCTCCAGTTTAACGTGGGTGGATTTTTCTTTTAGTTTCTTAATCGGTTATAACAGTCTGTTCAGAATGTAAACTTGCTCCTGTATAATTTCAATTGTTGGATTTCCGTCACGGATTGACATCAGTTACAGAGGTTGTTGGAAACCACCAGGAAACACTGGACAGCTTTTTCAGCCTATTTTGTAACTTTTCAGCGGTGCGCACCAAAGATCCCACCGCCAGGGATCGAACACAATACCTGAAGATTACAAAACCGAACTCATTGACCATTCAGCCATTTGGTTTGGAATACAATGACGCCTGATTCCAAACTTTGTTAGCTTGTATAATACAGCACTGTCCTCACCAGTTCCTCCGATCATTACTCATCATTTCACCTTGACATGTTTGACTCCACTGAACACGACTTCTCTAGCAGGCTAGTGCGTGTGCACTTCAGAAAAGTCTCAAAATAGGATGAAGGAGCTGCCCAGTTGTCCGTGATTGCCAATGATCCCTCAAGTCTTCTTTTATTCATTATATGAAAGGAGAGTATAGTTGAACTACATAGGGCTATATGCGGAATCACATGTAACTCTAACTTTATATTTAGCAGTACTCGAATGTATTTCATGCAGTATATCTGTGGAAATCCTAGAAACACACAGGATAGCCTAGATTTAACTGGTTTACTCTCTATAAAGTGACAGTTTTAATCTGTTGACATTTTATTTTTTCGTAATTGTTCATCACGCGTGAGACATAAGCGGTCAAGCTGGAGTTTTGAGCTCGTAGTAGCGGCTGTGTTTCCTTTTATTCAGGGAAGCTGTTACCCCCACGCCAAATCTTTCCTCTTTACTGCACTGACCACCTGCCAGGAGGCGTTTAGGTGTACGTTGGCCGGCAATCACACCCGGACTACTTGCATCGTTAGTGAGGCTTCTACTACTGAACCATCAATACTCTAACATTCTTATACAAAGACATTAACAGATTAAATAAGGTTAAATATGACAGAATATTAACTGTGTAAACAAAACTGAGGAAAAAGGGAAAACCAAGGGACAACTAATTGTTCCCTCGAATCAGTTATACTTATGAAGAGTCGCAAACCAGGACGAAACAGCTCTCCAGTACCCCCAGCTTGTTTTCCAATGGTTCTCTGACTGATGTCAGCTCATGATGAATATCCAACAATAAAAAATACAATGTAAACAAGTTTTCCGAAATTTGCTTTGAAGCACAACAGCATGCAGTCTATCTCCATTTACAGTAATGAAATAAGCAACAAATGCTAATAAAGCTTTCACAAGCACACTCAATTTGATATATACAGGTAGCTAATCCTCGAAACTTCAAAACTGCCTATATCACTTTGAGTGTGTTTGTGGAATCAAGTACACATAGGTCATATGGAAAGGCTACAATTGTCTACTTGCCATGATGGAGCATTTGAGGAAGTGATTGAAAAATGTTGAAGTCAAGGTAGTAATGCATCTCACAGACTACGGTCATGATATTGGTGCTACCAAGTTACTTACTGTTGTAAGCAGACGAATCAACAGTAAGATACTTGCATTTTCAGAGACTTGTGTAATTAGAATTCATAAACATGGACTCTGTGTACAGAAGGAGACGGTGGTCACTTTCAATCTATCATAGCAAGTCGAGTATGAGGACAAATACTCGCCGAAGACATTGGCTAGCCGTCGCGCTATATCGTGAATTGGCAGAAGTTAAAATTCATGGGCCATTGGATCGGGTCCCACTGGTTTAATGGTCTACGAGCTCGCTGAAACCTGAGAAGATATAACAATGAAAATAAATAATAGGAGTCTACTACAAATCTGGTTTACGAAGATAATAATTTGATACTAAGATTGGATGCTAGATGGTAACTAGTGTCATGAGTCTAGTCCCTTACCTGGTGCAGACCGAATTCTGTTAGTCGAGTTTGCAGTGTGACCACCATGCTAGGTAGCTCGCCATCACGGTGCACCCTACATGTTTTTTATTAGATGGTTGGAGGCAATTGACAGGAAGCCTTCTATCTAGGTTTCGTGCTTGTTGGAACTCACCAGTCAGCAAGACGTATATGCATTTCCCCCTGAAACGCAAACCCATATCAGTTAGTGCCGCGGTCCTACAGGAGGAGGTTAGTCTCGTCTCTGAATTGCCCAGTAGTATCCTCATTGACTTCAGCACTAGCTGACAACCGGATTAGAATCTCAGAAGGGACACAAGTTCCTTCAAGACTGTAAATACATCTTCCAGACTGGTGAGTACCAACAAAAAAAAAACACAAAACCTAGGCTTCCTGCCGATTGCCTCCAACCATCTGATAACAACAATTCAGAGTGTTTAATTTATCGCTTAGAAAATGTATTGAATGCATCTCACTTTGTTTTTTTTTTTTTTTTGTTTTAGAGAATGGGATTCTGCAGTGCAAAGAAACCAACTCCAACAGTGGAGGATAGCGATTCATGTGAGTGACTAATCATCTTCCATGCGCTCAGTTATATGTATATGTATAATCATTAGAGAAAAACGCTAGCGAACGCCTGTATTAATATTTGTGCTTCGGGATGTGAATTGGGCACATCGATGTCTAACTGAATTGCTTCTAGATGTAGCAGATTATGGCAGTGTGGAGTCAAGTCTAAACCTCTATAAATAATGTATTATATTTTCCCTGTAAACTATATAGCATGCTTATGCATCATTCTCCAAAAATGCAGAATACTGATGGGTAGTATGTGACTCTAACTATTCAAAGGACTGAAATCAAGTGTGTATTTGTTAGAATTCCTTCATAAATATGAAAATGACGCCAAGAATTACGCTGTCAATAAGTCTGGAAGTAGGTGATAATGTTTAGTGGCTTTCGTTTACTAGGCAATAAAGCAAGTAGGTGTATGCCACTGAAGCTTTTATTCATTTTATTCATAAGAAACTCTCGAACTGTGCACATTGAAAATTGCTAAGTAGTTTGCAAATTGTGAATTTCATTCATCGTATCGCCAGTTTTCCCAAGTACCTAGCCAGATAGCCAGAAATCGGGTGGTTTGGACTGATTCGGCTCTCGGAGCTGAGTCAAGCTGGGGTCATCCCCTAACGAGTGAAACGACCGTCTGGCGTTTGGATCACTTCAATCTGACTAGCAAGCACTACTGGATGATGTGAATGGTATATAACTAGTCAAGTCAGTCAACCACTAGCATATAGATTCATAATTCTGAACAGAAAAAGTGTTTTTGAACGTTAAGAAACTTAATTGATATAAATACTCGCCGATGACAGTCGCTAGTGGTCGCGCGATATCATGAATTGGCAGAAGTTGGAATTCATGGGATGATCATTGGATCGGGTTCCAGTGACTTAATGGTCTACGAGCTAGCTGATGAAGGGTCCCGAACTAGGACGAAGCTGTAGCCGAGTACTCCCAGCTGGTTTTCCAATGATCCTCTAACTGATTTCAGTTCATAATGAAATCCTGAAACCAATCAAATCCCTGCAAACCAACATTTCAATATGAATGAATACTGTGAAGGCGTTTTCTGCCTAATCTCTAGTTAACAGATTATTTCAGCCGGTTAAAAATCCTGTAATGCCCAGGAATTCTAACTCAGACTTATTCCTCTAATTTCTTTTATGAAGAAATTCATTTTGATTGTTTACGTTAACCTAGCTTGCCATGCCTAATCTTTATTTCCTGATGATATTTCCAGGCATCAGTGAGAATATAAATTATGCTTTATCTCTGGCTACTACACCCGAATACATGAACATGTTCACAGAAAGTTTATGTGAGAACCATGCAGCTAATGCAACTGAGGTAAGTGCTACTCTTGTAAACCTTGTAGACAATAGTATTCTAAAAATGCAATATGATGTAGAGTTGAATATTTATATATCTTACCTACAGGATTAAAAGTGGAATGGTAAATCTAAAAATTCAAGTAGTTCTGGGGCATATTTAAAAGAAATATGTAGTAACAAACTGAGAAAGGTCTGTAATAGCATCTTAGTGGCCCGCATTTATTATCACTCAAACTTAGTTTCCTATTTCGGCATTGATGAATAAATTGACTAGCTCAAACTGTACACGACAGATCGATCTGTACATATATAATCAAATCTTCATCTGTAATCGAATGAAAACTATGGTCAAGATTAACTGAAGTCTAGTTTACTGCTTAGATGTGTCAAACAGTGGACTGGTATGTACTGTTGAGTTTGTAAATACAGTTTCATATATTCCATTCTCTCCAGGTGCTGTTGTAATTTGAAATACTGGACACAGCTAGTTCATTTTGAGTCTTACACTTTCTTACTTCAAGATGGCGGGGTTGTTTGAGACATGAACTTGCTCTACTCACTCTTTCTAAAAAATTTTTGATTCTTTAGACTAATTCAGTGGTTTTGTGATGAATTATAGTTAGGTGAAAGATTTAGTTTGAATAACTAATCTTCCTTGTTATTAGGAAGGCAAGTGTATTAACTATGCTGATGCATTCACTACAAAGTACACGAATATTCTTTATTACGGCGTCTTAAAAATATCAGAATTACTCAGACCGATAGTGATTCACTGGCGCATATCATTCTAGACAGATATCTACGCTTCAGTCACTTGTCCGTAAGTCCGTGACCAACAATGAAGAATTGGGCAATCCATTAGAAGTGAATACAGGAGTAAGACAAGGCTATCTGTTATCACCGATGGTATTGTGGTGGACTGAATTATGCTACAAAACCATGGTGATCGACAAGCGAGGAATACGTCCGGTGGATAAGAACACTCTGGAAGATGTGGACTTCACAGATGATTTGTGTCCGATTTAACAAAAATGAGAAAACTAACAGGAAAAAACCAACAAGTTGGAAAAAGAGGCAGGCAGCAAAAACAGAACTTCAAGTGGACATACAGAAGACTTAGCTTATAAAGATAACCAACAAACAATCACAGGCAGCACCAAACCCTTTCGAGGGAATAAAAATGAAAGGGATCTCTCCTTTTACTTATCTACGCAGCACCGTTTCACCTAGAGACAAAAAGGATGGGAGTGTGAAATCCTGATTCTGAGAAACAAAGCAGATCTTCATCATTCTGAAATCAATTTGGGGATCTGCTGCACTCAGCATAAAGAACGAAATTCGTATTTTCAACGCCAGTGTTGAGTCGATTCTTCAGTATGCTTCAGTAACTTAGCATACGTCAGCAGAAACATTTCGGACAGTCTGCTGCAGACCTTTATCAACGGCTGTCTTTGCTGGCTCCACACTGAAGATCAGATGGCCGATCAGAAAGAACTGGAAACAAGAAACTCTGACAATAAAACAATCAAGAGCCTACCGGCCAAGAAATATTCCGGAGAAAATGGAGATCTGTCGGATACACGCTGAGGAAACCGTCGGATGAAATCACAAACCAGGCCATCGCTCGTGTGGAACCCGAATGGAGAACGGTGACTTGAGTGTGGGTTCTTGGGTGACATGTAGAAAGTCGTGTGAGGAGGAGCTGAAAACGTATGGGCAGTAATGAGCCTAGATAAAGAGGACTGCAGAGAACATCACAAAATGGAGATATTCTGTCGAAGCCCAAGTCAATAATAATAATGACATCACAAGTGAAATAAGACATGCTGGACGTGTCCTGAATATTCTGGAGATGAAATGTGGAGTTTGGTTATTAGAGGTGTAAGTTTCATATGTGCTGTGATAAATGTTGTAAAATCCAAGCAGCTTTTATTCATGGACTCTAGTCACTCAACGTTTCGTTCATAGTATAATGTCAGATCAATTTACGCATGCTGAATTCATGGCGTACCTAGTGAAATGGAATAATTGTTTGTAAAATCCCTCATGAACAACATCATTACAATACTTATACTCATTTGGATGTTGCACCTGATTGCGTAATTATTTTCCTCTTTTCACCTAGAACGTTTTTCATTGTTCTAACTTTCAGGTATCCCCTGTTGACTTAGTCCTTATTGCTTGCCTTTGTCCCTGTTTCATCTCCAAATTTAACGCTTCTCTTAGTGGTTGTGTCATGATACTGATAATATGTTGTTTTACGACTGCAGTTTTGTCTGAGTGATGATCATTGTTATTCTGACCTTGGACTTTCTGTGAGGAGCGTTTTTGAGTGACAGAGTCGACAGAGGTTTTGATTCCTTCCACCTTGTTGGGAATATTCTACTGAATGTTCAAGTACTTCCTACGGTCAATTTTGCTCAGAGAATTTTGTTGCCCAGTACTTGTTTTGTAGCTGAACTCTTATTTGATCTGTACAACTGCCTTACAGTGCTGTTGAGATTATTTCACATTTTATGATTGTGAATAATTCAAAGAAGGTTTGGTCAGCTACGCAGTAGGACATAAACATTGGTTTCCTAAATTCAGACCGTAACACATGGCTTTTTGTCGTTACACATAGTTCTCTCACCAGTGCTGTCAAGATAGTCCACATAATGTTTTCTTATCATCGGCCTATACTACGCGGTAGCGACAACCTCCCTCTAAAACTATGAATACAGATAGTAGAATTGTCTGTCCTACAGTACCAGTTCTCCTCCATCGATGCTGTTTGTAATCAACCATTGTGTATTGCTTCATTCCGTAAATTTATTCATCTAAAAGGTTGAATTCTGCTTTTTATTTCCATCATGTTGCATTTACCATTCTTATTCCAGTTCAGCAATACCTTTACTCATGATTACTGTCTGCTTTATTATTTTCAGTGTGTCAACACAGTAAAAACGGCGATAGACTTTCTACTGCAGTTTATCATCTAAGTGAGTTGGAATTTCACAAAATTAAATTTTACTTGTAAAATCGATCTTGATCAAGTTAAATCATTCACAACAGAATCACGTATCCCGCGGATTGACTAACGATAAAACATTTTCTTCTTTTCCAGATGTATGCTAAACAATTCCTGTGATAATCAATATCTTTCATACAACTAAGATGATATCATTGAAAATAGAAGAGAATAAATTATTAAACTAACTGTTTCTGTTTTCAAAACGAATGCCTTCAGTTTTGTTCTTCTCATGATTGTAGCAACATTCAAAAGGAGCAGTTTATTAATCTTTGTGGTATGTCCGTTTAAATCAGCTTGTGACAAACGAGATACTAGTTTTGGGCTACTCGGAGGTACAAACCAACTGGGGTTTGAGCCTAGAACCCTCCGGTTAGAGCGCGACCTCACAGACCATTTTCCCACTGAGACACGACACAGTGACCCACAAATTACAACTTCTACCGATTCATGATTTAATTGGGATCCACCAGCCAATGTCATAAGTGAGTAACTGTCCTCACAACCGGTCAGGTGAACCCCATTGATCAAAACTTCTCAACAGAACTTCAGTCAACTTCGTCCTGTAGGCAGCCATTGTTGAGCATCAGATTAATTTTCAAGAGTTAGTTTGTAGGGATTTGATAAGCTTCAAGTTTGACCATGGACTGATGAAAGTTTGAGAACCATTGAAAACCAGCAGGAAGTACTGGACAGCTGTTTCATCCTAGTCTGGGACTCTTCATCAGTACACAGCCATTAGGACTAAGTTCTTGCTGTTCTAGTGAGAAAACGTGATCCTTAGGGTAACAATTTTGGGCGTGAGAAAAAATACTCGCCATCAACATTGGCTGGTGGTCTCACTGAAATCGCGAATTAGTAGAAGCTAGAATTCATGGGCCACTGAGTTGGGTCCCAGTGGCTGAATGTTCCATGAGCTTGCCTTGTATCAGGAAGGTCCTGAATTCGAACTCTAGTAGCTGTGTACTGATGAATAGTTCCACTGTCCACTACTCCCTGGTGGTTCTCAGTGACTCTCCGACTGATATCAATCCATCGTCAAACTACAAACAAATCAAATGCCTACGAAATAACTCTCTAAAAAGAGATACTGTTAATCCTACTACAGAGAGACCATTTAGAGATTGTTTGGTGTCTTCAACGTTTTGATATTTAATAGTGAGCATTTCATCATCTGATCTCATGAAATCTCCTTGTTGTCCCAACAGTTCATGAATGAAATACAAAGCCGATAAGTGACACCAGAAGATTAAGTTTCAACATTTTTAAAATTTCATTCTTTTGCTTACCAAGTGGAACCCACTGCTTCATGCTTCAGTTGCAGTGGTGTCACGTTTTTACGGGGTGGGATTACTAGCCTTCCTCCTAACCTTCCCTCTATTTCAGGCTTACATCCAGCTAAGAGACGTAAAGTTGTCAGCTGGAAGAGGATCGAATCGCCGACCACATGCATGGTTGGCTAACATTCTACCACTGGACCACCGACGCATAAATTACAACAACAAACATGGGAATCGTAAAACACTGAAGCAGAATTATAAGGATCAACTTTATTTCATAAGTTCTCTTCATCATGTATACAAACCACAATATGTATTATGGGCATCTGATACTAACCAGTTCTGTCAAACTCAACACAAAATGTTATGTTGTAATTTCACAAATAACTATCTTAAAGTGTTGGTTTTCAGTGATCTGATTAATTACACCTCTCATCATGAGCTGACATCAGTCAGGGAACGTTACTGGAAAACCAGTAAGGTACCGGACAACCGTTTCGTCCTAGTTAGAAACTCTTCGACAGAATGCACCCACTGGGGTGAAACCCAGGACCTTCCGGTTAAAAGGCAAGATCCTGGACCATTTACACATCGCTAAAGAGTCTCAAACTAGGATGACGCAGCTGTCCAGTACTCCAAAGGAATTAGTTCCTTATATTATAGTATTTCTTGAAGATAGCAATATGGATAAGATGTAGTCAGATTAACTAAAGAATGTTAAAGTTTTGAGGCAACTTGTTGTATTAGGAGTGTTAAAGTTTGTACGCATCTGGAAAGAGTCGATGAAATAAAAGGGATAAATGTTTATGAAGGTGAATTTTAATTCAATGATATCCAGGAATCGTAAAGAATATATATTCCGGAATCTTCTGTTAACAGCTAAGAGTAATGAGGCAGCTGTTTTCTATGAATCATCTGTATGCAGTTTATGCCTAATGGGTGATAGGGGAATGAAAATTGTCAATTTAGAGCTTTCTGAGTTAACTTTATAGTTGTGATTTCACATTTAATGATATTAGTTGGACTGAAGACTTCCCCTGACTGATATTCTCCAAGAGATTCCAAAAAGAAATACTGGTTCATTGATTTTTCATAAAAGAGAAAATTTAAAAAGATTTGCAACAAGATTATTTGGACAGAGAAACGAAGAACAGCATAACAGATAGACTGTGATAGTGTTTTCAACTTGAAGATTTCATAAACATTCGGCACAGTGAGGAATTATCACATGTATATATGTAAAAACTTAACGCTATTATATCGTAGATGACTCACACAGTCTCAACAGAATCAAAAGTTGTGAAATATAAACATTTTTCAGAGAACTTCTTATTTCTAATGAACGAAAAATGTTCTTTTCGATAACTTCTTCATCAAGTTCTACAGTTGAATGACTATAATAATGAAAGAATTAATGTCATTAAGAACAGGAATGCTTTAAATAACATCGGATCAATAATATGGATAGATTATAGCTTTAGAGAATCTGTAAGAGATATTATACATGAGATGAATTAAGGGAAGTAACACCGAATTTATGAATTTATATGTTCCACAGTAGTACAGGGTAGCAGTAGTCGCTGGCCGGACGTGTTTCGTTTGCACACAGAGCTCCCGTTGACTTTGGTGAATTGCAGTGGCCTCTACTGTTTGGAGTCTTCGGTATCTAGAGGCCATTGGTAATTTATTTGATACCTGATAGATGATAGAGAAAGACCCTTCAATGCTGTTAGCTTTGTGGCCTGTTTCTACGAGGTGATCTGACGTAGAACTGTTGTTGATTTTAACAATGCTGTCATTCAACTACAAGGGTAGATATTCCAAACACAAGAAAACTAAGTTCCTTTTCCGCTATCTAACGAATACTGAATAAATTGTTAAAGGCCTATAAATACCGAATACTTCAAACACCAGAGGCCTTTAAGATCCGCTCAAAGCAACCGGAGCTGTGCATCCAAAAGGACAGTACCAGCTGTTATTGCTGCCCTGGCCTGCAGTAGAATTGATAAATTCATAAATCCTATTTTTTTTAGTGTGATAGTAATGCATATGATCACTTACAGATGCCTCTGAACTGTGATCTATCGATATCACTGACTGAATATAATTTACAACAGTAATGTTGTGAATAAAATTACTTCTTTAATTATTATGGTCACATAACTGTGTGAGTGTGGCGTGTGCTACTGATAAGATTTATCAGTAGTATAAAAAGAGACTTTCATCAGCATAAAAAACACCAAATAGCAGGGAGATAGATAGATTTGATGTCAGAGAAAGCCAATGATACTGTGTCGTGGAGTTACATGGGAGACAACGTGAAAGGAACACAAAGAAACACAATATGTGGGAAGGCCAGAAGTAGCACAACACAGAAGTTCTATAGAAATGGTGCGTTGCAGATAAGGTGTACATAATTTGGCTATGTAGAAATACCAAATAAGACGGGATGATGAATTTATCGACAAGAATGTTCACTAGTCTCAGTCTTTTAAGAGTTCTAATGAGCAACTGTAATCAACGCCACTTTTAGTGATTTCTCACAATGCAGCTGAAGTATACTTTGACGGAAAATCTGTTGAAGTCCTTATGCTATCTGTATGTGAAGTTAAGTAGCATAATGATAAATTTCGACAAAGGCAATACTGTCAACTAGTCAAGTTGAGTTAACTCACTATTCGACCTTTTCTTGAGTGTTAGAGCTTACACATCAGATAGGTCCACTCATAACAGTAGAACGGAGTGTTAAAATAAGTTTATAAAGCATCGTGCTAACTTGTGCAAACGACTTTCGTCACCTCAGTGACAACAGACAAAGCATAGCTTCACATTGTCTAGGGATTTACACTTGAATGATAGAAACAATATGGTGGTGTCTACTGTGAAACTGTAGAAGAGGTATGCATAAAGAACTTGGACTACTGATTTATTTGAAATGGGTCTAGGCACCATTATGGATAAGATTTTATTTTCATAAATCACACAGTGTTACACAGTAATATTAACTCTGTAGGCTAAAAGACCCGGTGGACCCAATTAAACAAAATAATATAATTTACAAAAAACCTTGTAATGACTGTGAGGTCAACTATATAGGTCAAACTAGTAGAGCGGGGGTAATCAGGTTGTCGGAACATAAGAATTTAGCCAAGGTAAGAATGGTTGACCCCGAGAAGATAGGTAATTTAGAAAAAAGCTCAGCAATTGCACTACATGCAATAACACACAACCACACAATAGGGTGGGAGAGGGTTAAGATTCTAAGAAGTAATCTATGTAGGTGGAGATTGAGAGAGATTGATTACTGAATCCTGGTTCATTGAATCTACACCCAACACATGCAACAGAAATGACTCAATGCAAATACCAGAAATATGGAAGATATTATTACCACCAGTCAGTCAAATCAGAATAGGATAATAAATAATCTCAAAATTCTATTTCAATTCAAGCAAATCACAACATTCTAACAAGTTACTTATTATGACAATAAAAATCTTGCCCTATTTCCCATCTGATTGTATTTGATTGATAACACTAATATTATTTCTGAATGTACATCATCCTATATTGACTTTTATTCAAATATCTAGTCAATTCCACACATGTATATAAATGAAGGAAAAAGTTGTGTGAGTAACTTGATATGATTATGAGCAATAATTTGTGCTCGAAAGGTGGCCATCAGTTA